AGTTCAACTATAAAGAACAAGTCCATTGTTTCATCATTACAACTTAAAGATCGTCCTGAAAAGAGAAAAAAGGAAAAAAGACAACAAATTTGCCCTTATACTCCTTGTCTCTTTATTTTGTTTTTTATTAGCGTATTAGACTATATTGTAAAAAAAGTATGTAACATTACATAAATATATAAAAATTACTTAATTTATGATGTTAATATATAAATTGTGCGTTTTAAAAAATTAATACTTCTACCTCTAATTGTGTAAATATATCTTTATATTAGACGGAAAATTACAATAACAGTGTATTTTTTAGTTCTTATTGAATGTACAAATTTTTGTGATATTATATAATGGTAAAATATCACACATACATATATTTGCATCATATTCTTACATTTCAATAATACAGTTTAATCGAAATTACGTACATAATTCGTTGACGAATTAATATCAGAACATACTGTCTATCTACAAACTTAACTTCAATTATAAAACTTTTGCAAACTATTTAATTACTATAAAAAATAATACTTTTATTTATAAGTTGTGACGTTTTATTTTATGAGGTGTATGTAAACATATACATTTAATAGTGGGTCCCAAAATTATCCACTTGTAATTTTACATGTAATTTTTTGCACTATAGAATTTTCCTTTCTTGCTTTCGCCAAATTTAGAACATACATCTATTTCACTTAAAGTACAAAAGGTTGAGCTATAAAACAAACAAACCTCTTTTCTTTTCCCTCACTAAAATTAAAACTGTTCCGATTAATTAGAATTTTATTCGTGTATCGAACGTTCGTGTGAAAATCCTCGCCTTAATACGCAGTATTAATTTCTTCTCCTTCTATTATAATCTCCATTTTCTCTTATCTCTTTATCTATCCCTCTTACGAGGTTTTTTTTCTTACAATCAGTATAAACGTTGACAAGCCCACAGCGTTGATCCGTTCCGTTATTATCGTGACGACGCAAAATGATAAGGCAACAGATTTTTCTTCTTTTCTTTAAGATTCTTTTCTCAAGCTTTTTGAAATTAAAGGCGAGATAGTAATAGGTCCGCGAACGACCCCGCGATCCCGATTTCGTTATTTCTACTGCGGAAAGCGCGTCTTTGTCCTTCGCCGTGCCACGGAATTGTTATCACAACGTCATACTGGGTGCTCCATAAACACGATTTACTAGAGATCTTAGTCCTGGAATACAATAGGAGTAGTAAACTTTAAGCTATAATACCTCGTCGTCTACAATATGCGGAGTAAGCTTGGTGTAAAAAGTAAGAGTAAGAAATTGACTAATCACAGTCGAATAAGAGGAGAATAATTTACCGTGATTGGTCAATATCTTCCTCATTACTTCTTACACCAAGCTGACTCCATATAGATAACACATAAGATACTGGCCAATCACAGTCGAATATGGAAAGAATAATCGACTATAATTGGTTGATTTCTTAAAGCTTATTATACCTATTGTGTTTCAGGATTTATTCTATAATATTCTGTAAGCAATAAAAATTGACAAATCGTAGTCGATTATTCTCATCACATTCGACTATGATTGGACAATTTTTACATGCAATCTAGTATACACGGTTTCTGATAGGTTGAAATCTCTTATTTCCAGTTCCTATTGTCTATGATTTTCATTGTGTTTAAAGTTTGATAGATTTCAATATATGACTTAATGCACAATTGAAAATCAGAGATAATAGGAACAGGGAGAATAACAGATTCCAAGTCTCTAAATTCTTCAGAATAGAGTCTCGTTCTAAAGCCATGATCAGACTAGAAATTGGATTGAAATTTAACCAAAAGAAAGAAAATCAATTTCAAGTTTAGTAAACTTTGCTTTGAATGGTTAAATTCCAATCTAATTTCAATCTCTAGTCTGATCATGGCTTCAAAAGAAAATTGAGGGAATCTTAAGAATGGCTCAATTTTCAATCTTTAAGAGTGAGAGTCAATCTAAAAGTTCTCGAGAGAACCTATATTAGAATATATGATTTCTGATAGGTTGAAATATGTTATTGCCTGTGCTTTTCAAATGTATAGGCCTTAGCAGAATGGCTGACTTATAATCTTAGGACAACATCTTATGGCCTATTCTACAATGTGCTTTTTGTTTCCTGTTTCTTGCTTTTTGTTATTTTTTGTATCTTGCCTTTTTGCCTCTTATCCCGTTTTTCGTTTTCTGTTGCTGGAGATAAAACATTAACGAACTTTAGAAGAAACAGAAAACACATATCAAGAAATATAATTGTCGATAAAATGATCACAAAGAGGAAAAAAGCAAAAGGTAAAAAGCAAGAAACAGGAAACAAAGAGCACATTGTAGAATGACCATAAGTCTTTTGTTTTTAATAACACATAATAACTGTCTTGTGACTCAAGTCTTAAAGGTGTGAATATATATATATGAGGCGAAACGTCACACCTCATGTGTATGTTTAAGCTTGAGTCACAAGACTGTTATTGTGCATTAATCACAACTAAAGATAAAAGACTTAGGTCATGAGACATCGTCTTAAGATTAAAAGTCAGCCATTCTGCTAATGCCCTATTTGAAGCTTAAATCTGAAATACAAATGAAAAACAAATGAAAAACAATAGTAAAAGACAATAATAGACTTCAACCTACCAGAAACAGTACATACCAATTAAAATACACAAAATACACAATTTCTGACAGATTGAAATCTATTATTCCCTGTTCCTATTGCCTGCGCTTTTCAATTGTATCTCAGGCTTATCCCTCGATAAGATACAGTCATCTTACTGAAAGGAAAAAAACCTTCTAACCTCACACTTTTCTTCTCCGTCGTTCCAACGTCGCCTTCGATTTCGGTTATCGTTCGCGGCTACGTTCCGCTTGAAGATAACGAGAGATCGATATATTAAACACGCACTCACTCTCTCCCTCTCTGTTGGTCTGTCCTCTGGTCCGTTATTACCCTGATCTCGTGTGCGTGATACTATAACCTATAACAGCGAGCGCGGCGCGAAAACGCGTGATAATCGCACATGGACGAGGGAACGTGTTCTGTCTCGTTAGGCGAATATATCCTACTTCCCGCCGATGATCAATCGGACTTGTTGATACTTTACGTTGCACTGCGTCGCGTTACTTTACGTTACGTTCTTTCCCCGTTTTATACGTCCACTCCGATCACAATCACAAAACCATTCTATAATCTATTCAATCCCGTTCCGTTGTGCGTGCCCCTGTCAAGGCGTTCTGACACTTGTCGCCATCTATCGCCAGAGAGAATCGCCACTACTGCCCTCTGAAGAAGTGGATGTAAACTACACGACATGTTATCAGTGCTGCCAGATGTGGCGATTTATCGCCAAATTGATGATTTTCGACTTGATCGGGCGACTTTATTTTCGGATTTGGCGACTGGCGATTTTCTCTCTCTCTCTCTCTCTCTCTCTCTCTCTCTCTTTTCGTCTCCAAACATGCTGGGGAATTTCTTGATGCGCTGATTGGTGGCTGCTGGGCTGCGTTTAGGAATTATACTGGATTCACACTGCATC